AGTCAAAATGTTCGCCCGGATTGCTGGCGCGAAAATATGAAACAGCTGTGACCGGCGGTGTTTAAAAATGGAGGACATGGAGGATTTGGGAGAAAATTCTCCCAATTCTCCACATTATTTAACTCACGGCCCAACACTTGTCGCTGTTGCAACAAAACGGTTTGTTTTAGAGCCGAAACTTTTAAAAGTGCTTGAGTTTTTAACTGGGTAAAAGATAAAGTTTGGCGACGGTTTACCAACGAAACTGTGCGAACCATGTGCAGAAAGGTGAAGAATATTAAAAATTTCCGGTTTTTGTAGCTGGCATCACTTTATTCGCAGGAATTGTCGATCGTCGGGTCTTGTGTCAAAAGAGCTCGCAACAGGTTAAAGAATCACCTTCGCCGAGTCAGCACTCTACGTTGAGGCGAAAAAGAGTGAACCGCGAAAGTATCGAAAGTGGTCGGATGTGTCTTTTCGTTGAGGGCGATCAACATCACAACAAAAATCCCACTCAGTTTAGATCTATTGCTCCCAAGAATAACACGACTGCACTACAGCGCCTTCCACAATTTTAAAAAGTGGGAACCGTTTATATATGCGGGCTTAGGGTTGGTGTGTCAGAAAATATGTCTAAAATATATAACTGTATTGCCCTTGAAGGAAAACTGTGTGTAAATGGTTTTGTTTCCTGGCGAATAATTGTTAGCATATTTTTTTGCTTTGACATCAATGGAAGGCCACATATACTATGGGAAGGCCAATAAGTGATTTCTACTTTTCTTTGCTGGCCCCAAACTCCAAACGGGGAAGCGGAACTGATGATAGTGATGATGATGATGAGTGGATAATGTTTCAACTATGTAGTAATGTAAAAAGTTAGGAGGTGTTCCTTTTTCAAGCAGGTATAATTAAATGATTTAGGTGAAATTAGAGTTTTAAAACCACGTCTCAGCAAGGCATCAATTTCAAAACAAATCTGTCACTGCATAAAACTATACACATTAAATTCTCAGCTTTGATATACGTGCAACTGAAAACAGACATTTGGACATTCTGTTTGTGTTTACTACCTGACAACTAATCAGTGAGAGACTGGCAATCAATGCCCCAAAATGAAGAGACCTTTTGACCAACATTGAGGGTAGAAAAATATATCGGTTTCTTCAAGCCTCATATCAAAAATTTGGAGCAATTTAAGTTTTACTAAATAAATGACTTCATTTTTTCATTTCATGGGTACTTAAAAAAATAGTAACTGAGGAAATGTAAACAATAATAGTTCTATGGATAAAGTTTAAAAGTTTACAGTGGGTTAGAAAATATACAATGTGTTCATCCCTTACAAAATAGTGGCTAAGCAATGAAATTTCCACTTTTCAAGATCAAGTGGTCAACTTTTAATTTCTCCTTACTGTAGTAGTAATACATTTTCAAGTAGACAGGCCAATTTAAGAAAACCATCAACCAAGGGATACTGTTTTGAAGTCAAATTTCCAATTACATTGTCAATATGCAATGTCCACTATGACAGTATGTAAATTGGAGTGAATCACTCAGTCGGAGGCATCCTCTCTCTCATAACGTGTAGTTTTGCTGTGTACAGAAGAAGCAGCACTTTGATTTTGTCATCACCAGTGTGTGGTCGTGTTGAAAATGTGTAGAAAATGTTCTGCCTATTGGGGTTCACTGCAATGATTTCTGGATCCACCATTCCAAGGGAACTTGATGCATAACATTTTGTTTGCTCAGTTACTGTTGCAGTTAGTGCGACTACAGGCACCTTTGCAAATATGGTGCCTAGCGTACCTAGTTGGGCATATCCAAGCCAAAAACTCTTCCTGTAAATACAATGTATGCAAATGCTTGCTTATTTAACAATGATTATAATTAGTTTATGATCAGTGATAGCATACAAGTAGCTCAACCAATTAAAATTTCCACATTTTGCATTAGTATTTACTAGTATATCAAATTGTCGCAGGCTAATTTTACAGTTTGAAAGCCACTCATACAGGATTGGGAAGAATCTGGGACTCGGAAATCCTACGTCTCCAGAGCCCTTTGATTCTCATGCCAAGGCCTCGCCGGCTAAGAGAAGCGAATAGGGCTATGGGGACGAGAATGAATATGTTAGTGATTTTCAGCTCGCAAAAGGTTAAATGAGGCCATAAACTCAAGCAAACATATTTATATGCTTTCTGGATCAAGCATATAAGGCACCATTTGCAAACATCAAAATGGAATGCCAAAGGTGGTCAGAGATGCCTTTAATATTGGGGAGGTCTGGAGCCCAGTATGCTGCCATGGTAACAAAACTGTTAAGATCATACTGTGGAGCACATTTATTAGAATCTTACTGCCAAGAATCAAACATTTCTGATATAAATTAGCTGAAATATCTTTTTTCATCATAATTTGATCAAAATTTGGTTGAGTGTATGACGTCATCACTGGGCTAATTTGCATATTTTAAAAACTTGAATATCTCTGGAACAAATATGAGATATTTTAAAATAGTAAACAGCATTTTGTTTCTCATACAGACTGCTTGTTTATGTTTTAAAATGGCTTCGACAGGAAAGATGCGATTTTCGTTATAATACCACTTTAATATTTTATACTCAATTACATAAACAGTAATCATTTCATACTTTCCTTGTAGCTAAGTTGTAGCTAGAAGTGCCTATAGAGGGGACAATCAGTCTAAAAGGAGGAACAGTTGATCTAGAATATTTGGCCATATAAACCACATAACCTAGCTGGTTGAGAACCAGTGGGATAAATATCCCAGTAAGTACCAGACCATTTTTCTTAAGCTTACGTTAATACTGTTACAACTGACTTTCACTGTCTAATGTTAAATCAGATTACAATTTCTTAAATTTAGAGTCAGGTCACCTGAGTGCTACAACGCCATTACTGTTATCAGATCTTAGGATCATGACGTCTTTGTTCTTTTTGAGTTTCTTCAGCATTTTAAGTTTTTTCAAGTCATGAATTTAGTGAAGTGGTTGTCACATGCTGGATTTCAGTTCCTACTTCAGTGGCTTTGCTCTTGTCTGCGAGATGTCTTTTAAGATTTTGGTGACGAAGTTCAAATGTTGTGAAAATGTGACTTTTGTTTAGATGCGGTGGTTTAATGGAAAACGTAAGACCAAATTTCAAAATATCAAGTTCTTCTACAGGCAATTTGTAAGATAAAATGTTGACAACTGCATCTTAAGTTTGTAAGTAAAAGGAACAGGAGAATTTCTTGCGAGGCCCTTAAGCTTCTTCTCACATACCTTAACAAATTTGCTGACTTTTCGCTACATTGTTTTGCATGAATTTCTTGAGAATGAATAGCTCATGCTGTTCAAAACCTTATCAAAGTGAACAAAATGCAAGCGTTATACCTCTGGTTACAATTTGATCTGGATGCCTGATCTGACCCATGTGTGCTCCTATATGTACAGTGAGATATTGATCATAGCTGTCCGGTCAGCCTTTCAATTGATTTTATTGATCATAGACCTAACAGTTAATTTTTGTGAGTTACAACTGTTTGCTTATTCGCAGAAAATGCACTTTAGAGGTTAGTTTTTAACCACTCATTGTCATCTTTATATTTTTCTGCACGACTGAAACCCGTCACTTCAATGTTTCAAGCCTGTTATTTGTTGTCAAATTTAATTTAAATGTATGCGAGTTGTGTGAACTAAGGGCTCTGACACAAAATATAGTGCTAAAAACAGCCTGTCACAAATACATGTAGCTACAAATGCTTGTGTCTCCAAGGTCTGCATCCCAGGCCAGTCCCCATAACAAAAAAAAGCTTAAGATAAATTAAGTGTCTTGAATCTGTATGAAACTCGTATTTTTAAAATCAACAGCACCAAACACTGTCAATTTATTGCCAGTTTTGTACCTGTCTTTCGAAGCCAAAATTGATTAACACGCAAGTTGCCTGAACCATATGTATCTACCTGTCTTTACAGAAATCTTACATTAAGAATGCAAAGAATGGTAACACAGGAATGTCTCACACAGGAATGTCTTACACAGGAATGTTTCAAACTCTCCTATTACCTTGTGTGCACATGACTAAGTCACGCCAACATGAGGCAAAAAAGGAGAGAGATTTCCAACAATGTTATGATGTAAACTAGTGCAAAATACATTATAATAATCACAATAATAATTATTCATTTTACACTTAATCGGGGACTCCTAAATCGACCAAACAATCTCCCTTTAAACAACCGTTTTGAAACTCGCAATTAACTAACCCACGATTAGGACATTTAATCAATAATTAGGCTTAATCGGTGATTAGTTTAATTGCGGTTTTGAGCAACTGGGTCCAGAACGACAACATTCAATGCATACATCAAGATAAGTTTAGCACTTGTAACACAGGAGTTCTGACATCTCTACACAAACACAATGGTGTCAAGTTCAAAAACAGTGTTATCCTCTCAAGTCCTCAATATTCTTAACAGAAAGAATTCCAGCCATTACTACTTGTAGTACTCATAGCTGCCATGTAGAGTTCTTATATAAACACAAAATTGCCTTTTTGATAGTTTCATCTAATGTCCACCATTGGCCTCCCAGTACTCCAGGCCCGTCACTTTATGTTTACGTGCTTCATGTTTTACCTGATAAGTAATACAGATACTTTGGCAAGCAACGTACTGTCTCCTTTTTAAAGTAGAAGATGCAACATGATTCCCACAATGTTCAAACAATTAATCAATCAATTAATCAATTGTGTATATTTATCAGGGGCGTAGCGTCCATATACGCACGTATGCCCGTGCGTACAGCTGAAATCTGGAAAAAAATTATTCCCTTGTAGCGTTTGTCAAAGTTACCATAAAATAGGACCGATTTTTAAATTTCGGATTATACTGGCCTGTGTGTTTGTTTT